CACACTCAGGGGGCAGACTCAGTGAGCACCAAAGCCCCACTGAAGCAAGTCTTGCCCCATAAGGGTGTCTTCAGCACAGAAGTTCTCCCACTGCAGACACAGCTGACTCTCACAGCCAATTGGCCTGGAGGTCAATTCCTCCCAGTGATACCTACAACAATCAAGGCTTAACTACAACAAGACTGTGCACAAAGCCCACAAGGGGGTGCACCAAGAGTGTCCACCTCAGGTAATTGGGGCAGCTGAGCCACTGGGCCCTATTGGACACCTAGCACAGAAAGCCACTCTATCAACACAAGGAAGCAGCCAAAATGCGGAGACAAAAAAACAGGACACAAATGACAGAAATGGAGGAAAGCAAACGACTTGATATAGAGTTCAAAACCACACTTTTAAGGTTTTTCAAGAACTTTCTAGAAACCACTGATAAATTTAGTAAGACCCTCAAAAAGACTGGTGAGACCGCCGATAAATGTAGTGAGACCTTCAAGAAATCTAGTGAGACCCTCGAGGTTATGAAAAAGGACCAACTAGAAATTAAGCATACACTGACTGAAATAAAGGATATGTGCTGGGGTCCAATCCCAGCGGGTCCAGGGGTCCCCAAAGGTGTGGACGGAGTCGGCGAAGAAGGAATGACACGAAGACAGCCTTCAGTTGATCAGCAGCCTAGTCAGGACCTCTAGCCAGGATCTCCAGCCAAAGTTCTGGTCGGAGTTCTGGTTAGGAACTGATCAGGATCTGATGATGATCTGATGTTTATTGTCTTGTTACATCCGTATTTATACCAGCCGATTTTAATCCTGTCAATTTCTATTACAAAGGTTAGGGCGTTTCTTATCTCCATTCCAGGGAGTAAAGATTATGTAGCTTAACTACCCGCCTGGCACTTAATTAAGGGGTTGTATCCCCTCCCTAACCTCAGGGAAAGATCCCCACCTGGGGAAACAACCTTTCTCGGAGAGGTGACCTTGGTTAAAACACATGGCGCTAAAGAGAGCAATCATATTAAGAACAATATGCTATATATGCCAGGTCCCTTGAAACATATGCTGTGCAGATGTTTCTTTCCTGCAGCGACTGTGTCAAGCAGCAAGGATGGACCGGCTCCCGGCAAATATGCAGAGTTCCAACAGCAGACTAGAGGATCGCAAGAATCAAGTCAAAGATTTGAAATACAAATAAGCAAAAAACACCCAACCGGAAAAGCAAAATGAAAAAAGAATCCAAAAATACGAAGATAGTGTAAGGAGCCTCTGGGACAGCTTCAAGCGTACCAACATCCGAATTATAGGGGTGCCAGAAGAAGAGAGAGAGCAAGATATTGAAAACCTATTCGAAGAAATAATGACAGAAAACTTCCCCCACCTGGTGAAAGAAATAGACTTACAAGTCCAGGAAGCACAGAGAACCCCAAACAAAAGGAATCCAAAGAGTACCACACCAAGACACATCATAATTAAAATGCCAAGAGCAAAAGACAGAGAGAATCTTAAAAGCAGCAAGAGAAAGACAGTCAGTTACCTACAAGGGAGTACCCATACGACTGTCAGCTGATTTCTCAACAGAAACTTTGCAGGCCAGAAGGGAGTGGCAAGAAATATTCAAAGTGATGAATGCCAAGAACCTACAACCAAGATTACTTTATCCAGCAAAGCTATCATTCAGAATTGAAGGTCAGATAAAGAGCTTCACAGATAAGGAAAAGCTAAAGGAGTTCATCACCACCAAACCAGCATTATATGAAATGCTGAAAGGTATCCTTTAAGAAGAGGAAGAAGAAGAAAAAGGTAAAGATACAAATTATGAACAACAAATACTCATCTATCAACAAGTGAATCTAAAAAATCAAGTGAATAAAGAATCTGATGAACAGAATAAACTGGTGATTATAATAGAATCAGGGGCATAGAAAGGGAATGGACTAACTATTCTTGGGGGGGGGGAAGAGGTGTGGGGGATGCGGGAAGAGACTGGACAAAAATCGTGCACCTATGGATGAGGACAGTGGGGGCGGTGAGGGCGGAGGGTGGGGTGGGAACCGGGTGGAGGGGAGCTATGGGGGGAAAAAAGAGGAACAACTGTAATAATCTGAACAATAAAGATTTAATTTTAAAAGAAGATATAGAGGAAGACATAAGACACATAAGACATAAGATATAAGACAGGGATGTCCGCTTTCACCATTCTTATTCAACATGGTACTGGAAGTCCTAGCTACAGCAATCAGACAAGAAGAAAAAATAAAAGGCATTCAAATTGGAAAGGAAGAAATAAACTCTCATTATCTGCAGATGACATTATACTATGTAGAGAGAATCCTAAAGACTCCACCAAAAAAAACTACTAGAATGGATAAATGAATTCAGTAAAGTAGCAGGATAGAAAATTAGCATTCAAAAATTGGTTGCATTTTTATATAACAATAATGAACTATCAGAAAGGGAAACTAAGAAAACAACCCCATTTACAATTCCATAAAAAAATACCTGGGAATAAATTTCATCAAGGATGTAAAAGACATGAACTCAGAAAATTATATGGCACTGAAGAAAGAAATAGAAGAAGATACAAATATACCATGTCCCTGGATAGAAAAAATTAATATCATTAATATATTCATACTACCCAAGGCAATCTATAGAGTCAATGCAATTCCTGTCAAAATACCAATGGTGTATTTCACAGAACTAGAAACAGTCCAAAAATGTATGTGAAACCATAAGAAAACCCTGAATAGCTCAGCAGTATTGAGAAAGAACAACAAAGTTGGAGGTTTCCTGCTACCTGTTATCAAACTATACTATAGGGACATAGTAATCAAAACATCATGGTACTGGCATAAAAACAGACATATAGATCAATGGAACAGACCAGAGAGCCCAGAAATAAACCCACACCTATGTGGTCAATTAATATTTGACAACGGAGGCAAGAACATAGAATGGGGTAAAGATGATCTATTCAATAAATGGTGTTGTAAATACTGGACAGATACCTGCAAAAAAATAAAAATAAAACTAGATCACCTCTTCACACCATATTTAAGAATAAACTAAAAATGAATTAAAAACCTAAATGTAAGACTCAAAACCATAAAAATCCTAAAAGAAAACATAGGCAGTATCTCGGACATTTCTATAGCAATATTTTTTCTGACATATCTCCTTGGGCAAGGGAAACAAATGATAAAATAAATGAATGGGACTACAGCAAACTAAAATATTTTTGCACAGCAAAGAAAACCAACAAAGGGAAGAGATAGCCTTATGGGAGAGCATGTTCACCAATGATACATCGGATAAATGGTTAATATGCAAAATTTATAAAGAACGCTTACAACTCAACACCAAAAACAAACAAAAAAACAAACAAACAAACAATACAATTAAGAAATGGGCGAGGAACCTGAGCAAATATTTCTCCAAAGAGAACATGCAGATGGCCACTAGACATATGAAAAGATGCTCGATGTCAGACATGCAAATTAAAACCACAATGAGATTAAAACCATAATGCAAATTAAAATCACCTCACACCTGTCAGAATAGCTATCATGAATAAATCCACAAATGATAAGTGTTGGTGAGGATGTGGAGAAAAGGGAACCCTCATGCACTGTTGGTGAGAATGCAGACTGGTGCAGCCACTATGGAAAACGGTATGGAGTTTCCTAAAAAAATTAAAAATGGAACTGTCTTAGGATCCAGCGATTCCACTTCTGGAGATTTGTCCAAAGAAACTTAAAACACTTATTTTATTGGAAAGAATATATCACCTTTATGTTCATTGCAGTATTTTTTATAATAGCCAAAACATGGAAGCAACCTAAGTGACCATCAGTAGATGAGCGGGCCATAAAAAAGAATGAAATCTTACCATTTACGACAGTATGGATGGACCTCCTAGAGGGTATTATGCTCAGTAAAACAAGTTAGTCAGAGGAAAACAAATACCATATGGTTTCAATTATGTGTGGAATCTAAAGAACAAAATAAATGAATAAAATTGCAACAGATTCATGGACACAGAGAGTGAACTGATTGTTGCCAGAAGGGAGGGACATTGGGGGACTGGGTGAAAGAGGTGAAGGGATTAAGAAGTTCAAATTGGTAGTGACAACATAGTCATGGAGATGTAAGTAAAACATACTGGTAGGGAATATAATCAATAATATTGTGATAACTATGGCACCAATTGATGGGAATACTATGTAAAGTATATGATTGTCTAAACACTAAGGTGTACAACTGTCACCAATACAAAATAAAGTTGGAAGAAAAAAAAGAATGTATTTTTAAAAATCTAAAAATGTAGTTCAATACATGTTTTAAAAAACACTGTATATTTTATGATTCCGTTTATAGGGAATTCCCATGAAAAGCAAGATTATAGAGACACAAAGCAGATCGGTGCTTTCCTGAGCTGGGAGTGGGAATGAGGATTGACTATAAGTGAGCATAAGGGAGATTTTGGGGTGATGGACATGTCCTAAAATTGGATTATGGTGATAATTACACAACTCTGTAAATTTACTAACAATCATTGAATTGTCTACTTAAAATGGATGAGTTTCACAGTATGTAAATTGAACCTCAATAAAACAGCTCTAAAAATAGGCCTCCCCAGGGAAACTAGTTTAGTTCCCTAAACTAGTTCTGAATTTTTTGGCAATTATTTTCAACATTCTAAGCCTAGATAACCAATATTATATTCAAGACTTGTTCATGGAAATTCGAAAATTAAATGTGTCCCCAAAACACTCAAGATGAACACAGCAGTCTTCAATATTTAACGTCATGGCCATTCTGGAAAGAAAGAGTCCAAGTTCAGTGCCATCAGTGTTTCTGGCTGCCTTCCAGGAGGGAGGCTGGAGTGAGCTTTGCCCTGGGTGACACTCTTCCTTGTCACTGATTAACCAGCTTTGTAGGAAGGCCGCTCCACCAACATCCTGCTCTGCCTGGAGTTGATACCTGGCCAAGCGTCGGTGAGCAGGAAACATGTCCTCTCGCTACCACCAAGCTGCCAGTGACAGCTACCTGGAACTTCTGAAGGAGGCGACCAGGAGGGATCTGAACCTCTCTGATGAGGATGGCATGACGCCCACACTCCTGGCCGCCTACCACGGGAACCTGGAAGCCCTGGAGATCATCTGCAGCCGAGGGTGAGTGCAGCCTGGAGCTTCCCCTGGAAACTGTTTCCGTAGGATTTGGCAGACCAGCAGCAAGAGCAGGGAACTCAGTGAAAATACTTTACCTCCTTCTAGACTAAACAATTGTCTTTCTGGAGAAAGGGGGAACATTGCCTGGAGATGCTCTCTTTACTCACTGAGAACTGGCAACGTGGGGCAGGCTCGGCCTCTGTGAGCCGCATACAGGGGAGAAACCCTGAACTCTAAGGCATGTTTTCACCGTCATGGGGAGGATATTTTAATTCTGTGCCTTAAAAAAATGTTGTCCATAATATAAATGGTTGCCCCTTTGACAAAGAGATCACTGTTTTACTTGGTTTTAAGATGTCAACCCTGACTGGAACCAATGATGTCATTTTATTTTTTTATCTCTGCCATTAAAATCCCATAGCCTTCTGTTAACTCTTAAACCTAGGGCGGGTCCATGATTCTTAGATGAAGTTGCTGACTTTACAAGCTGTAAAAGAGACCTTAAGTCTGTCTTACCTTCATCACCTCTCTGGCAGTCAGACACATCCATGCACACCCCCTCCCGCCTCCCTACAGATTCTAGCTCAGAGCCAGCTAGCTCTTTTCTTCTGCATGTTAACAGAGGGGCCAGGCTGTGCTGGCAACCATAACCCAAAAGGGGTAAAGAAAGAAAGAAGTGTGAACAAAGGAGCCCAGTGAGTTTATTTCAATTCAACACTTGTTTATTTATACATGTCAGTTATGTGTCAGCCATTCTGCTAGCTGCTCGGGATGCTGCAGTCAACAAGAGACACATATTGTCCTCATGGTGATCGGATTTGAGAGAGGAAGACAGAAATTAAGTCATGTATGGTATGTGCTACAAAGGGGGTGAGCAAAGGCTTTTCTGGAGCATATCCGATGGGATTTGAAGGAAGAGAAGGAGCTGGCGAAATGAAGGTGGGAGGAGGAGTGTTCCATGTGAGAGCACTGTGCATTCTCGGAACCGAAGAAGTTGAGTATGGCTGGTCATGGCTTGAGTGAGAGAGGCCAAGTGGTAAGAGACAAGAGCAGATCACAAGAGCCTTGTAAACTCTGTGCGGGGCACGGGCAGCATTGCCATGGGTCTGCACAGGGCCGCGCCGGGTAGATTTGTGTTTGCCAGATTTGCTCAGGCAGCTGGGCAGCCATGAGAGAGAAAGCCTGGACTCTCTTAATGGTCTAGATGAGAGATGAGCAAGGTAGAGCAGTGCTAATGGGAGATATGGATGGATTTGATGGCAGTTTAAATGTACAACTCATTATGATTGACTGGATGTTGGGCAGGTGGATAAAGGAGCAGGAGGATCAAGGCCCCAGCTTCTGGCTTCAACATCTTGGTAGTGTTGGCACCCTTTATTGAAGTAGGGCACTTTAGGAAAAGTTAGAAGAACCAAAGGCAGTGGGCAGAGTTTCTGAGTTGAGAACTGAATGAGGAAGTCAGTGGAATGGCGCTTTCCCATCCCTTCTGCTGATGACACCCTGCCCCACCCCCATCAATCAGTGTTCTCCGGATCATAACACCCTGCCAGCTCTCCCCTCTCCCAAACTTTCTCCTCTACTCAGAGTGTTCCACCTCTGCTCCAAACGCACGATGGCAGCTCCTTCACAACTGGAAGCCCTTGCTCCCTTTGAGGTCCAATTTAAATGGCAACGGCAATGCCTAGGTTCTCTCTCTCCCTCTTTCTCTCTCTCTTTCTCTCTTTCCCCCTCCCTCCCTTCCACCCACCCTCCCTCCCTCTCTCCCTATCCATCTCTGTCTCTCTCCTTTGGTATGCCTAAAACATTATCTTCGCTTATTATTCTGCTGGTCTTTATTTATGACAAATGTAACTTAAGCTGAACCCAGAAAATAAACCACATATATGCACACAAATTATAAAAGAAAAATGTTGTATAATGTCATGCTATTAACAGTCGTATGTTGTATTCCTATATAATA